TTGCGAATATTTATGGAACTGACTGCAATCTATGTCGTTGTCTAATTGCACTGCTTATCGGTTAAGTGCCTGTAAATTCTGAAATAATTCATTAAACGTTCATCTGATCTATGTTGCTGCCTAATTGTATTACTTCTCATTGTCAGTTAAGTTTCATCACCATGAGGATGAAACGAGTCGAAGCTTTCATTCCATTAGCAATGTTTGATTTTCATTATTGATCGCGTCTGAAGTAGAGATTTCTCGTAGCCAAACATTTCTTCTCGTACATTTCTAGTGCGTCATATATCCTCTTCATCAATTCCCTCTAGCGTCTTGTGCTAGTTGAATACTATTTCTCCGCGTCATATCGTCATCGATCCACTAACTAATTGCGTCGTGGCGTCATTTCATCAATGATTTTTTTTAATATTCAACCAAACACACGTATGTATTACGAACGCGACCAGCAAACGCGATAACACCGACCTGCTGCGCCTTAAACAAGATTCTCAGGGAGGCGTTTTCGCGTGCGACTGTATCGTTATATTTGATAACAAACGGCGCCGTTTCGCTTTATCTCCAACCAGTGAATGCCCGTTCGAGGAAGATTCTATTCGCGGACCAGCCTCTCCAGAGTAGCTAATAAACCGCGACAGTCGTTATCTCGGTTTCTGTCTAGTTTTATTCAGGCATTACGTCAACGGTGTTACGATGTAGTTCGAAATAGCTGAGTTTCGTCACGTCCAGTAAACAGGCCTGTGCTGGTCAATGAAAATCGCCTGATTATTAATAATACAAATCGTCGACGTGGAACAGTTCGTCGAAGAAACGAAGTCATAGTGACGAGGTGTGAGGAGCGAGTGATTAAATAATTTGCAAAGTATCGTAGTATCGCGACCCCCTTACCCAAAAACAAGGAGATCTAATGCAGACTTAACTCAAGAGCAACGAGTCAAACAAGAACACGAAGCGTAGAGTGCGAGATTGTTCGCGTAGGAAAAGGGGTCGACTATGAATACTTAGATCGTGGGTTCGAATCTCCGTGGCCTTGTCTTATATGTAAATTTTTAAATCGTCTTATATGTAGATTTTTAAAATGTCTATAGTCGAGACTTAATTCATAGCTTGATTAATTCGAAGCTTAACTAATTCGTAACTCAACCAGCTCGAAACTTAACTAATTCCAAGCTTAACTAACAATAAGTCGAAGCTTAACTGATTCGAAGCATAATTAATTCGGAGCATAAATCATTCGAAGCTTAACTAATTCGTAACTCAACTAACACGAAACTTAACTAATTCCAAGATTAACTAACAATAAGTCGAAGCTCAACTGATTCGAAGCACAATTAATTCGGAGCTTAATTAATTCGAAGCTAAATAATAACAAGTACTGATCTCAAAATCCCTAAACAGTGATCATTAGACCGCGGATCTTTATGCAATTATAGGAAATTTGAATATGCAAGAACCTACAAAATGCAAACAATCTGCAAGAATATCAAAAAGATTGAAAGTAAAGTTCATGTTATAATATTTGCAGAATAAAATAAATTCCTATTTAGGTTCAATTTTTGTAGGCACGTTCGCCAAGATTTTATTTTGCATAAAGATCTGCAGTCTTAGTGATCATTATAATGAATATCGAGCTCATCAGCTAAAACCACAAATTTACTATACCCTCGTTCGAGGTTCTCCCGTTGCCAAATGAAAGTTTATCTAAAAAGTCACCTTTGAACTGATTCGTCGCACTGTCTCCGTTGTCCTGGTTGGTTTCCCACTCGCACCGTATCGATTCGCGCAACTCGTTGCACGGGACGCAACGTTTAACGTGTTTCGAACGTGCTCATCACCGCGGTCCCAGCCTGGATGAGACTGAGAACGAAACTGAACCACCACCACCTACCTACCGTCGTCCCCCACCTTCGCTAACAACACCTTCAGCTATGTTCTAGCTATCACCTACTTTCTTCTCCCACGCGCGGAAAATCATTATTTTTCTCGTTCGTTTTCAATCCTCCGTTCCGTAGATTTTATTTCTTTTTTCTTTTCATTTTACTAAGAACTTATCTTCGAAATTCTCAGACTCCCCGATACTCGCTCGACACGCAAGCAGAAATCGCAGTTTTATCTGCGACTTGATTACTGATATCAGGTCTTCAATTTTTAGCGTGGAAGCTTTTCCTGCGAATGTACAGTGCGTTGCGTTTAAAGTGGTACATTAGAACATGCACGTTTAGTAAAAATTGGGTGAAAAGGGGGTCAGAGGCGTTTTATTTTTTAAAAAGCTGCAGGATACGTTTTCGCGTAAAAGCACACGCGGAATCGACTTCCTAAAACATCCTTGACCTCGTTCTCGGGAGTTTGGGATGGGTCTAAGTCGACGCTTCTACGTTCAAGTAGTATGACTCGACAGTGTGTCGTACGAGTCAAGTGGTTACCTTCGCTAGCTACTTGGATTACATTGAACTCGAAAGTGAAACTCGAATATCAATATTTGATCTCGTAATAATGGATCGTTAACTTATATGTCTGTATCGTTTCCTTTGTAAGTATACCTTCCAATGAAATCCCTCAATAAAGTGTGTTCACATTTAACAGAGGAGAGTCTGGTCCAGCTGATGTATTTTTCTAATGCATATAATTTCCAGATATAATTAATTTTTGTTATTGTAACTTTTTTTACATATAAAAAGATGTTCAAAGAAGAAAATTTGACAGTGTAGATTTAATTTGAATGTATACATATACAGGGTGTACCAAAACTCGGGGAGGAGCCGGAAATGGGGGGTAGCTGAAACGATTCTGAACAACAATTTCCTTTGCAAAAATGTCGAATGGGGCTTCGTTAAGGAGATATTAAGCGAAAACCCCGACCAATCAGAGCGCGCGTAGACCGTTGGAGCGGCCGCGGTAGCGAAGGCTACGCGCTGGTGGCCGCGCTTGCACGCGGACAAATGACTCGACGTGCATCGAAGCATCGACCTAGCGCAACTTACATATAAGTTGATTTTCTTCCTCTAATTAAATGCTCCACGATTAAAATCTCGCCTCAGGCGATAGCGAGATCTTAAAATAAATATTACACATTGATCGTATCCATAGTTACTTAATAAATTATAAATGTCAGAAGCAATTGTTCTCAACACGCTAATTGCCATGTCACCCATATAAAGGCGACAGAGATTTTCATTAAGAAATTAAAAAATTAATTCTAAAGATCAGGTGTTCAAGAGAACAAGTCTGGATAGGATTCGTGAATTTTTATCGGGTCGTAAAACTAAATATGAACACAAATTGTATTGTTTGATATAGATTATATAGTTTCTAATTGTATCAGAATAAAATTCTGGTTTCAAAAGTATTTTTACGAATATGCATAGCACTGAAAGTATTAATTATCGCTCAAATTATTCAAATTAAAGTTTTTTCGCGCGCTTTCCTAAGAATAATCCAATAGCCATCTAGCGGTGAATAGGTGGAACTAAAATTCCGACCTCCGTACAGCGCACCACCGGGAAACGCCCAAGCTTGTCCTCAAATAATTCCTCTTATTACTGCTAGATGGCGCCATTTATATGGTTTTTTACCGACATGCCGATATATTAACCATAAGCAACCTGTAAATTGCGCCATCTAGCAGTAAGAAAAGAACTAATTCAGGACAAGCTTGGATGTTTTCCTAGTGGTACGCTGTACGAAGGTCGGAATTTTAGTTCCACCTATTCACCGCGAGATGGCTATTAAGTTGCACGAACAATATTTGAACATTTGTTTAGATTTTTTTATATTATAAAATCTAGTAATTTAAAATAATACGAGCAGGCGTTAATACACAAATGTTTAATTAATATTTCACTTAAGTTACTTTACATATTTTTATCATGCAACTGTAGTTTTCATACGTAAATAGTAACTTGTCTAAGTTTAATAAGATACTTTTCCTTACTTAATATTACATATAATCTTATTACCAGAGTTACATATTGTAATAAGCTTCTTGCTACGTGAAATTTGCAAAGAGCTACATTATCAATCAACTCGCGTTTTATACCAAAAGGCTTGTTGCATGATGCATACAAGTATCGCTTGTTGCTCAATAATGCGACCACTGCGACGCAACAGGAAATATGGGTGTAATTAATCGACAAACACTTGTTGATTCTTGTTTCCAAATATATTTACAATTTTTCGAGATTTTGAACATAATATCTTCTGATGTTGACTCTCAACCTTTGGCTTATAGATTATCATTTGTTTACTGAGAAGATAAAAACTGTGTGAGCAACATTGGAAATTTTAAGTCCTACTTTTTGGGGAGCAGTTTCTATCTCTTATTAATACATCGTACATAGAATCGTCTAGTAATTCACCACTATTTACATATATAAATACTATTTGGATAAATTACATAAGTCATTCTTATTACAGCCCTATCGCAGTCACATACTTTTTTCATCCTACACCTGTGAACAACGATGTCGATACAATAAATATATTTTAAATGTATTCTTACTTATATTACTTTGTTTTATGCCCTCATATACATACCTTAAATAAATTATTTATTTATCAAATAAGCTATGTATTAGACGCCTGCAAATGCCAACTAGTGTTACCATCTATTGGTTTAATGCAAAACTGCCGTATACAAGAATCAAGTTATTAACAAATGTATAATTCATAGCAAATTGTTTCGATATTTAAGATGCATAATGCATACATTCAATTGCATCATCAAAATATTATAATTTAAAGTTTACTTGTCACTTTAAAATCGAACACATCTGCTGATGCGGCGCTCTTCATTTACCGACGTACCCCACGTTCATTATTTTGTACGATTAACATTTGTAAACATTTATTACTTGTACACGCTTATACAGAGAATATACGATTATTACTAAAGATTTGTTAGTTATAAATCTGTCATAAAACAATATGGGTGAATGAGATGCGTTTAAATATTCCTGCAAGGGACACATATCGTGACACGTAATATCCTTAACCAAGAATGTTCATGTATAAACAACATTTTTAAACATATCTTCCATTCGATTGTAATTTTGTTTAATATGGATGACGAGCAATGCGCAAAAAGACCAAAATTGGAAAACGCAACGAGTATAAAGGAAGGTGAAACTGAAATTGTGGTAACCAACACAAATGTGTTCTACAATCCAGTTCAAGAATTTAACAGAGACCTCAGTACTGCGGTGTTAACGGTTTACGCGAAAGCCAGAAGCACAGAAGTTTCAAAGAAAGGTATACAGCGAGGTAACATAACTGTTCTAGAGGCTTTGTCAGCAACTGGTTTACGTAGTATACGCTATGCCAAAGAAGTACAAGGCATAAAGCAAATTGTGGCCAACGATATCTCTGCGAAGGCAGTGGAGAGCATCAAAAAGAATGTACAATATAATAAAGTAGAAAATCTTGTAACACCAAGTCACGAGGACGCGACACTGCTGATGTATCAGAGCAGAAAAGAATGTTTCGATGTCATAGATTTGGATCCGTATGGTTGTCCAACGATATTCTTGGATGGAGCTGTCCAATGTGTGTCGGATGGTGGACTACTTATGGTTACAGCAACAGACATGGCTGTATTGGCTGGGAATTCTCCTGAAACTTGTTACCTAAAATATGGAGCTGTTTCCTTGAAATCTAAAGCTTGTCATGAAATAGCATTAAGGATTTTGTTACAGAATATTGCTTCCCATGCAGCTCGTTATGGAAGATACATAGTACCGATACTTTCTATAAGCGCAGATTTTTATATCAGGGTATTTGTTAAAATATTCTCCAGCCAAATTAAATGCAAGGACAATGCTACCAAAGTAGGAATGATATATCGGTGTACAGGTTGTGAAAGTATTAATACTCAACCGTTCTGTTACAAAAAGTCTTCTGGACCTTACAAAGTATCGCAATCGCCGTGCGTGGACCAACTATGTAATATCTGTCAACACAAACAACATACTGGAGGACCTATATGGTTGGGAACCTTGCATGATCAACAATTTGTCTCTGAACTTTTATGTAATTTACATAACATGAGGTTGGGAACCTTGAAGAGGATAGAGGGAGTCCTAAACGTTATTCACGAGGAGTTAGATGTACCACTGTACTATACTCTGGATCGTTTAATGTCTACAGTCAGGTGTCACACGCCGTCGATGTTAATGTTTAGGTCTGCATTGTTGAATGCAGGATACAGTGTATCCTATTCACATGCAAATAAAATATCTATAAAAACAGACGCGCCAAATGAAGTTATTTGGGACATTGTACGCACATGGGAAAAAGATCATCCCGTAAAACGGGACAAGTTGCAAAACAACAGTCCTGCAGCAAATATATTAAATACACCAATAAGTACAAAAATTTCGTTTGATATACATCCTCTAGCTAATCCTGCTTCCAGGCAGAAACACTTGACTCGGTTTCAACACAATCCAACCATCAACTGGGGACCTGGTACACGTGCAAAAACAATAATCGATTTAGAAACCAGTGTGAAAGATTCGAAGAAAATAAAAAATCAGAATAAGAATTTTAAAAGAGAAAAACATCAACTGAAAGAAAGTAATGAAGATATGAAGCATGTTTTAAATTCTGAGTCTCCGTGAGTAAAAAATAGAAATTTTTATGTTTAACAAGTGAAGGATGAATTGAACAAAGGTGAAGCGTTTGTACACATATAATTAACGACAATATTTGTAAGAAATGCAGATGCATTGAATCTTCTTCATTTGCCAATTTTTGAACTCCAATTTGTACATGTAACATACATACACACACACATTTTCTGTAATGTTTATATAATTGTAAATATGAATATATATTCATAATTTGAAACTGTATTTTACTTCTTTTTAAATCGACTCAGATCGAATGTACCTATATATTTATCGCAATTTGAACGTGACGGCGAGATTTTTTTTTTAAATTAAAAAGAAAAGCTGATACGGTCTTAGTCACGATAAAAGTGCGAGCTCAATAATATCTCGACTATAACTCAAATACCATACACGTCAGAAATTACGTGTTTTTAGACGAGTAGTTACGTAATCAAACTGTGTAATGAAAAATTTTCATGTTGACGAGAGGAATTATATCTACGGAAGTTTGACATCGGCAATCTTCGGTAGGCGTCGGTTGGATTCAGTTTCTATGTACTTCTGTAGGCTAATCATAAAATACAGGGTGTTCTAAAAATGATGGAAGTCCTTGAAATGGGTGATTAGGAAGGTGATTTGAAACAACTTTTTCCTTAGCAAAAATGTTGTCCGAAGCTTCGTTGAGGAGATATTAACGAAAAACGCTGACCAATCAGAGCGCGCGTATACCGTGGGAGCGTAGGCTACGCGTTAGGCGGCTGCGCTCATACGCTACTGCGGCCGCTCCAACGGTATACTCGCGCTCTGATTGGTCGGGGTTTTCGCTTAATATCTCTTTAACGAAGCCTCGGATAACATTTTCGCTAAGGAAAAAGTTGTTTGAAATCACTTCCTGAACCACCCCTTTCAAGGTGTTACAACATTTTTTGGACACCCTGCGTAAGAGTCCAACACGTTGAACGTTTTAAAAATTCCACGTTCATTGGTGAAGCGTCACCGAATCAAAGGTAACATGCACGTAAAGTCGAATATTTCTGAGCCGAGCTCGCGGAAATAATCGATGTCAATATACTTCCCCCCTTGCCGCTATTATCCCCTCCTCCCCCTGGGCACAAGTGGGAGAATAGTTCTCGCTTGTCTCGCAACTTTATATACCTCTCGTCGTTCAGAGTCGTGTATATGTGTTTAGAAACCGCTAAGCTATTGACCACAAAACGCGCAATAGCGTACAAATTATAACGATGGCTGCGCCGACAATGACTTTAAGTAACGGACAAAAAATACCTATATTAGGACTCGGTACTTGGCAAGGTGGTGTAAGTATACGATAATGTTTCCATTATTATTGCTAATATCTAAAACAATAGCTAATATCTTATCAATACTTTGAAAAGCACTAAACTCCATAAACATCTATTCGATTACTAAATTAAATTTGCAAATATAAATGTATCGTATATCACCGATAACGAATTTTGGATTTCTGAAGTTTAGAAATGTAGAAACCATTTTATCATTTACAACGACCACTTCGTTACAAACTGTTGTAGGACGATCCCAGCGGCGTGGAGCAAGCTGTACGAGACGCCGTAGATGCCGGATACCGACATTTCGATTGCGCTCATATATACGGAAATGAAAAAGCAATCGGCAAAGCTTTGCGCGAGAAAATTAACGAGGGCGTTGTTAAAAGGGAAGACCTATTCATTACAACAAAGGTGCTTACATGCACAAAGAATAAATCGTATTTACGGTCATCCGTATACTAACGATTCCTTTCTTTTACAGCTGTGGAATACGCACCACAAGAAGCACATGGTGGTCCCTATGTGTAAACAGTCTGTTCAAAAATTTGGATTCGATTACGTGGACCTTTATTTGATTCACTGGCCTGTGTCCTATGATGTAAGATAACAGAAACATATGTATGAAAACGACTATGATATGTGCATATTTGCACGGAAGTGGGCAAAATTCGTATCTACATAACAATTCCATATGTTAGTTTCATACGTTTAACAATTTCAAGTTACACGTTAAATAAAAATTTAATTTTAAATTGTAGAATGAAATTATGCTTCATTACGGAATGATCGCTATGCTGTGCTTCTATTCGTTTAAAATTTTATCCATTTCTGATGCGTAACAATTAATCGAAAAAGTGATTTTCACTTACGCGTGTTTTAGGAAAATGCGAAAGGTCTTTGGCCGGTAGACGAAAAGGGAAATCCCCTACACGGACAGGACGACTACATAGACACGTGGCGCGGTATGGAGGAATGCGTGAAATTAGGTCTAACGAAAAGCATCGGTCTCAGCAACTTCAATTCTCAGCAAATCGACCGTATCTTATCCATCGCCGAGATCAAGCCAGTCATGAACCAAGTGGAATGCCATCCTAACTTGAATCAGAAGAAACTGCGAGAATTCTGCGCCAAACGTGGCATTGCTATCACGGCATACAGCCCACTTGGTTCGCCCTTACGCCCTTGGATGAGGCCTAATGATCCGAAAGTTACATTGGAAGCACCGGAAATCGTCACACTGTCTAAGAAATACGGCAAATCACCTGCCCAAATTGTTTTACGATATCTGGTAAATCAGGAAAACATTTTATTAGATTTTCCAAAACAATTGCGAACAGCTTGTTTTTTATCCATCAAATAGAAAAAGTAAGGTTGAAGGTTGAGAAAAAAAAATACGATCGCCTTTGTTCTAAGAAATCTAATAAAAAATTCGTCTTCTTTCATTGTTCGAAATATTTAATCGATTTTAAAATCACTTGAATTACTTTTTATTGTAGGTTGAAATTGGCACGATTCCTATCCCAAAATCTAGTTCGAAACAACGTATCAGTGAAAATATCAATATTTTTGACTTCAAGCTGACTTCAGAAGAAATTGCGTCTATAGACAAACTGGATTGCGGATTGCGCGTGTGTCCCGCTTTGGAGTAAGTAACAAATTAAAATAGCAAATCCTCTGTAATGCTTGCCTTAATTATTCATGTACTTTTTATATGAATGTATTTGTTGTTTTTCATTCTAACACAAGCTTTTATGTTTAGGTTCAAGGAGAACAAACATTATCCATTCAATATTGAATTTTAAAGATGCCCTCGGTGACAGTGGCTATAATTTCTTAAGATAAGCTAATTTTAATGCAAAATTCCATATATATTTGTTTACTTATTTGTAACTACTGCATTCCTTAATAAATTATTTAAGATGTTTAGTATAAGTATTCATTAAAAGATCGCAAAATTGGCATCTGTCCCACCCTCACATGCACAAGGCAGAATGTACAATTGCTACTTATTCATACATTCATGTTTATCAATGTAGACGATTTCAGTCTTATACAGCAAACGAAACTTATAACTATGCATTAAAATATTAACAATACCGAGGTTACAAAAGCATTGTGCAATGTTAAAGATTTCTAATCTTGGATGGCCAAATCCGTTCCTACCGTCAGAAACGTTACATAATATTTATCTACGTTGGATACCGCGAAACCGATGTGCCGCGATAGACTTTGAGCAGTCAGTGTCCAGTATAACGTGCGTTTGACGATTCGCAAATTCTAGCAAGTTCAATAGTTAATCGATAATGCCGCAAATTCCCAACCTTACATTTTCCAATGGTCACAAGATGCCAGCCTTCGGTCTTGGTACATATCAGGTAAGAAAACATTCACGTATCTATCTGTAAAACAACTGTTAATTATTAGAATTAGCATTCCCTTCTAACGAAAATAGTCATGGTCGAGTTCATGCTCATCTCGAAGTTGCAACACTACGCACTATGCTATGCCAGATATGGTCACATGACCAGGCGCGGTAATCATTCATAAAAATATTCGAACGCGGGAGTTTGAAAGTACCTTCAGAAAATGATCGGAATTTCTTAGAGAAAATTTAAACCGAAACATTTTTTAATTTGGCACATGCTGAATCCATATTTTATGTAAGTTGCATTATAGTATAGATATCGATGCTTTCTATATATTTTAAATTTTACAAATATATTCTGGACATCGTATTCTATCAGAAAACGAAAAAAAGAAAATTAATTCAATCTGTTGAAGTTTCTAAATGGAAAAGACTCCTTAACAATGAAGTAACAATGTGTAATAGATAACTTTATTTGCCAGTCACGGGCTGGAGAGGTGGAAAAAGCTGTAATGGAGGCGATAAGTATCGGATACCGCCACATTGATACGGCGTATTATTATCAAAATGAACAAGAGATTGGCGCGGCGATTCAAGCAAAAATCAAGGACGGTACCGTGAAGAGAGAAGATCTCTTCATCACAACCAAGGTAATATTATTCATCTCTGACATTGATTTTAAGTAATTCATCCGATTATTAAAAAAAAAAAAAAAAATTTTCTATAGCTTTGGAACAATTTCCATAAAGAATCTAGCGTAGTGCCATCGTGTAAGAAGTCTTTGGAAAATCTTGGTCTAAGTTACGTGGACCTGTACTTGGTTCACTGGCCATTTGCCTTCCAGGTAAGCCTCAGTAATTAACACACTCTGATTAGAATGCATTTACATTCACGCGTGTAAAATGTTGCGTACCACTTGTCAATTATTCATGAAGGAAGGCGACGATTTGTTACCCAAAGATGCGAACGGTGCCCTTCTTATGTCGGATACCGATTACCTCGAAACTTGGAAGGGGATGGAAGAATGCTCACGCTTAGGGTTGGCTCGTAGCATCGGCGTCAGCAATTTCAATGTTGAACAACTCACGCGTTTACTCGGCGCAGCTAAAATTTTGCCTGTGAACAATCAGGTAACTCATTGAAACATGTTCAAAATATTTGTTTTCGATATTTAATACTGAAATATTATAGTAATATTTCAAACGCGATAAAATGTACACATTTATAGTTCGAAGTCAACATAAATCTCAATCAAAAGCCGCTGATAGAATTTTGTACCAAAAACAACATCACAGTGACTGGATATTCACCCTTGGGACAACCAGGTAACAGGGCAGGAATATCGAATAATTTGGATCATCCGAAAATTGTGGAACTTTCGAAAAAGTATAATAAAACGGAGGCACAAATCGCTCTACGCTACGTGGTGAGCACTTATGTCATGCATTTCGTTATTAACGCTATTAAAATGTAAATACATAAATAATTAGTTTAAATAAATGCTTCGATCTCGACGTAGACCTTCTTCACAGTTGAACCTTGTACCTATTGTTAAATACAGAATGTAATTTTCTGTCGTTGAAACGTTTCAGTTACAACAAGGCATCGCGATCATTCCGAAAACCGTAACACCCAGTCGATTGAAAGAAAACATGGATATATTTGATTTTTCCTTGACCCCCGAGGAAGTAAATGCTGTGTCGACGATAGCGACAGGCCAACGAGTTGCACGGTTTGGCGAGTATGTATCGAAATTATTTAAACTACAAATTCATTTTTAATCAGAAGGTAATACTATGTATAGCATAATACTCCTTTTTGTTGCAGCGCCAAAAATCACAAATACTATCCGTTCGAAAAGTAAACGTTTCATAGTAAACGCGTGAAACGGCAGGAAACGGCTCGTCAAATCAACACAAATTAATAGCAAGGCATACCCCCTTTGAACTTACATAATCCCACGCCGTAATTCGGCACTCGTTTGACCCTCGTCTAGTCAATTAGGTTTATTGAACGCCATGGAAAATTTTTGGTGCTCCGTTACGAATGATAGCATACAAAGCAGAAAACGAGTCGGTATAAATTACCCTAAATGTAATAGGTAAATCGATGTTGTATATACTTATACTGAATAAAGAAAATTTTATAAAGAGTAACTGTAGAGGACAGTAAAGTCACCGCCAATAAAGATATAAAACAAGACGGGCTGCTTAAGAAACGTTGCATTGTATCATTTAGCGCTGTATCGTTTTACAAGACAAAACACTTTTGTTCTTTACTCCTTAACGGCGTGGTCGTAGTTGTACCATTGGAAACGCGCATTCGATATTCCAACAAGGTGTTCTCGAAGCTATATACGGAAACTTGTGTTCCAAGAATGTTTTATGACGACGATGATAAATCTTGTTCCGCGGTTAATCGAAACGCGGTAACGGAAATACAATAATTAGCGAAGCGAAGCAAAACTGGTGGTCACTGAAACGCTGTCCACTATTCTGAAGTTATAAATACAGAATATAGTACGGAAGTTTCATTTGTTTTTTATGGTTCTACGAAAACAATTTGTGTAGGACACAGACTCATTCAGTTCTACGAAAACTGACCATGATTTGTTGTCACCGAGAATTCCAGGTCAGTCTTCTTCGAGCGCAATGAATTGGAAAGATGTGGGCGAGGGACCTTTTTCGTGTGATTCGCTCAACAAGCGAAATTGCTTGCTCTATATCCGCTCCCCGCGTATGGATGGAATTTTTTTGCCGCACATAATACAACGCTGTTCCTCGTACTGGTACTTTCTATTGCTCTCGTCCATCCAACATCGTCCCTCGCTACGTCAAATGTGCAACACTTCTTACGTTGTAGAATGGCATGCATCGCCTGATAGTTAATAATTTCATTACTTTATGAAATATGGTATGCATACGTTTGGTATGTCATTTCATATTACCATACATTGGAATAAATTTAAAACATCATTTCCATCCAATTTCCAATCATAAAGTCTAAAGTCTCACAAAGTCTTAATCTCACCTATATAGTAATTGTATTTTTGTAGCGACGTTTACAGATATTGAGGTCTTGTTTACTATTAATTACGAGTTTGTTCTTAAATCATAAGGTCTAAAGTCTCAAAAAGTCTTAATCTCACCTATTATAGCAATTGTATTGTATTTTTTTTAGCGACGTTTACAGATATTAACGTTTTAAAACTATTGCTAACGTTTTAAAACTAATGCTATTAATTACGAGTTTGTTCTGAAATATTTGATCAGCTGTGTGTACCTTTGGGTAGTTGTATAATCTTAACCCTTTGGCCTACAGCTACGAAGATAGCATGTAGGGTTAATCGAGTTATTTTTTACACAGAATACTTCGTTCAAACTTTTAAGTCGTCTACTGCACACGATTAAAATACAATTACTTACTTTCGTTAATGCGATAAGTCACATGCAAATCAGAACTCGAATTTCCCACGTATCGCGTTTAAGCGACAGAAATACAGAAAACGGTATTACGTTTTCAAAACGTTCGCTATCTGCTCTTATAGCATCACGTACTTTAAATATATGTACTGAACGCTCGCTCCAGCAAGCGATTGAGTACATCATAAATCATACCTTCCAAGGATAAACTCCACGAATTACTGTAGCGTTAAATGACCTAGGTATCTCCATTCTGGTATTCTGGAAACGTGGAAGAATGATGATTCAACAACGATCGACCAAGTATTTATGCGGACTTCGGACAATAAACGCGACAATATAACAAATTGGCATCGTAAAAGCTAACAGCTCGACAAATTACCAGAATACCATAATTTGTAATTCTACATAATCGCTTGATTAGTTTTAAAAATTAAACAGTTGTACGAATACTTATTGCTTCAACATTTCTATCGATTAATTGTTTCTTTCTTGCTAATTTCGCAACTTACATAAATAGCTTTTTTAAAACTTCATTAAAGAAAAAAGAAATTTACATTAATTTATAAGTATATAATACTTCCTTCGTGGGATTTCCTTTCGATTTTATAATTATTGTAACCCTTCTAAACATTAAATTAACTAAATTATTAGTTATTCGAAATGGGATCTTTTTCCATTTCTCTATTAGAGCCATTTTTAAAAGTACTCTCCTGGAAATTTGATGTTTTCTAATTCGTACGGAGCAATAAACTAATGTGTTTACGTTACAAACTCTACTGTTAATGGTTCGTCATAAGAATCGTACAAATACTGATTGCTTCTATACTTTTATCCACTTTTCGCATTTTTTTTGTTAATTTCACAAATTATATTAATTAGTAAATGTTGTTTGGACTATATCGATTTTAGAGACTTCTGAGAATATATAAAATATCATTGATAATAAAAAAAGAAGTTAAGAAACTACAATTTCACACAAAAGTTTGTTGGGTAATTGATCGGTGTACGAATACATTCTACACCCACTGTATATTTTAATATCTGCCTCAATCATCTACAGAATCGAATATATTTGAAGAGACACCTTGTATGTATTAACGGAGACCTCTTATGGCATAACACAACGCGGTTTCATCGACTAAACGTAAACAGAAAATATTCGAAGAGCCATTGCACAATAGGCCATGACATTGGTGAACTTGATCAAAACTAACAGTAATCGTCCGTGATCCTCTAAATACCGATATCGACGATCGATTAACCGAACTAGTAAGGCTAAACAATTGTATCACAGTTCTCGAAAAATTGTCGTATCGTCAAACATGGAAAGCTCTCGCGAAATCATTCTTGAGGTAATATCGATAAATTTTAGAGGAAGTACGTCGATTCAGGGCAAGGCGCTCAACTTGATCCTCGCCATAATCAGGTGTATAATTTTGAAAATCGACTATCGACGCTGTTTGGGCGAGTTCGCAACAGTCTTCAACGAGAAAGAGCTGGAGATACTGAAGAACGACTTGGAGAATCTTTTACTTTTCAAAACAATGTTTCTCTGCCGGATGATTACAGAATTCATAGAGGACACCCTGAAGAAGGAAGAAATTCGCGACAGAATATCCACCAGTGTCCATTTGCCGATGTACGGTCCGAATACAGTTATACTTAAGAGGAAAGTGAAGGCCATCGTCAAATTTCTTATCTTCTGCAAAGTGACATCCTGCTTTTACGTCGATGACAATAAGTTAGGCGGCTGGTCGTGTTACAAAAGGAAAATCGACGTTCTATTCAAATCTCCGATTAATCCAAAGACAGTTTTTACGATGTACAATAATAACGTATCCAAGGACGAATGCCTTGAACAATCGAACGACTTATCAAATCAAGAAACAACGCGTCTAAAGTATGTTCGCCCCGTCTTTTCTCTATTGCGGTTGCTTATGCGTTTTTTTTACATTATTGTTTCGTATTCGCCGATACGATAAGCGCCACAAAAGTAGTCCACGAAATCGGCAGTGGCACTTAAATCCGAAAAGAATAAATACAGGGTGTCCCAAAAATGTTGTAACACCTTGAAAGGGGTGGTTCGGGAGGTGATTTGAAACAACTTTTTTCTTAGCGAAAATGTTGTCCGAAGCTTCGTTGAGGAGATATTAACGGAAAACACTGACCAATCAGAGCGCGAGGATGCCGTTGGAGCGCTCGCGGTAGCGAAGACTACGCGCTAAGCGGCCGTGCTCATACGCTACCGCGAG